AGCGTTGCGGACTTTAGTGACCTTGCAAAGCTGAAAGATGTGCTTGTCCGGGATAGGGAAGTCAGAGATGCTAGAGCCACCGTCGATCGGTACCTCGACTTCTTGAAAGACCGGAAGTTCAAAGCTTACTTCGATGAGCCTATGAAGGCTCTTGCTGTCGTTCTAGATCCGGCTCCGGATCAATCCTATGCGACCTTGGCTACATTGACTATAACGAAGTCCGGCTGGTTGTCCAACGTGGCTGATAACCTTTTTGCCGCCGTCAAGAAAGAGTACCCCAGCTTGGTGTGGACTGTCAAGGCCGATGACGAGAATCTTACGTGGTTCTTCGACAAGGCCGATGGCAGTATCGTCAGGGGTAATGACGTTATGTTCTGGTATGGAATCGAGCCGGGAGAGGCTCTGAACAAGCTCATGAGGGAGTTTACCGTCCATGGTAGGGCCATGCTTGGTGACTCCAACCTAGAGGCTCGACTGCACCGAGCAGCCCAAATTGCCTCCGAGAACCTGCGGGCGCATTTCGCTTCTAGCTCCCCAGCTAATCAGGCACGAGGATACTCGACTCTTGCCCGTCGACCCATGATGGGGGCTATCCCTGCAGGTGCTTTCTCCCGCGGCGCCTTGAGAGGTTACGCAACCACCACGAACCCAAATCCTCCTTATGGCAAGAAGCATGCCTCAAATACACATCCTTCTAAGGTCGCTTTAATCGGCGCTAGAGGCTACACCGGTCAAGCACTTATCAGTCTCATCAACTCGCATCCTCATTTTGAACTCCGACATGTCTCATCTCGAGAACTAGCGGGCCAGAAGCTAGAAGGTTATAACAAGAAGGAAATTATTTATGAGAATTTGAGCGCTGACGATGTTGGCGACATGGAGAAAAAGGGCGCGATAGATGTGTGGGTCATGGCGTTACCAAACGGCGTTTGCAAACCGTATGTGGATGCCATCAACGAAGCTAAGAAATCTTCCTCCAAAGAAGACAGTAGTCTGATTGTAGATCTCTCGGCCGATTATCGATTCGACAAGTCTTGGACATATGGTCTTCCCGAGTTAATCAAGCGGTCGAACATCGCTCAAGCTACCCACATCGCAAACCCCGGCTGCTATGCCACCGCGGCGCAGCTCGGCATCTCTCCTCTCGTGGAGCACCTTGGAGGCCAGCCCACGATATTCGGCGTTTCTGGCTATTCCGGAGCAGGCACCAAGCCTTCTTCCAAGAACAATGTCGAAAATCTGACGAACAACCTCATTCCTTACAGCTTAACGGACCACGTCCATGAAAAAGAAATTAGCAGTCAGCTTGGCGTCGATGTTGGATTCATCCCTCACGTCGCCGTGTGGTTCCAGGGTATTCACCACACTATCAACATTCCGCTTAACAAGACGATGACTTCGCGCGACATACGACAAATCTACCAAGACAGATATGCGGGCGAGAAGCTAGTCAAGGTAGTCGGAGAAGCTCCTCTAGTGAAGGCTATTAGCGGGAAACATGGCGTTGAGATTGGCGGGTTTGCCGTGCACAGTTCTGGGAAGCGAGTGGTGATATGCGCGACGATTGATAACTTACTGAAGGGTGCCGCAACACAATGTTTACGTGAGTATCCCTATTAATCGGCCAGTGCTGTCTGTCTTGTCTTTATACTAATATGAAATTACAGAAAATATGAACTTGGCTCGTGGGTATGCGGAATACGAAGGCATTCCTGGAACGGACTAAGGGGGGGCACTTTGCATACGATTCGGGTTTTGGAGCAATGGGGTTTAAACTTGTATATACGTTAGAAACTGCTGCAGCTCTTACGAGCACTATAAAGGCTGTCCATATTTTACGTGTCAATTGCCCAATGGGATTCCAGTCTGACCAGTAGCGAGTATCTATGGCAAGATTTGGTCGGTCTCTGGTCGAGTAGAGGCAGATACAGAGGCCGAATAGACACCGCAGGGTACTTCCATGTAGGTACAGAAGAGCGCGGATTCTGGGTACCTGCAGATACCGAACTGTGGGAGTCTAACCTACATAGATCTACAGCGTATGGACTAGAGCGTCCGATGGCGGATGGCGGGGTCCATTTTGCGCATTTGGTGGGGCAAAGCTTTTGACATCAGATTCAACACTCGTTCGAGCTCTCATCAGTATAAAAATTCTACGTAGTGTGTGGCCTGACTCTCCCATTCCTTACCTTTCGACTGTCCATAATCGATCCCGAGACAAAACAAACAGAAAATATGGCTTCTCAATTCCCCTCCAAGAAATGCGGTATGATTAATCCCCCTCCCCGTTCCTTCCTCGTAAGCCAATGGCTGGCAGGAAGCGTGCTGAACTGTGGTTTGTGACTGACTGCTCCAGGTGTGTTGGGATGCACGGGTTCCGTGGGACAGCGCTTCATCCTGCTCCTGGCGCAGCACCCGCACTTCGTGCTCCACGCCGTGGGCGCCTCGTCGCGGTCCGCCGGCAAGAAGTACAAGGACGCCGTGCGGTGGAAGCAGGCCACGCCCATGGGCGCCGTCGGCGAGCTCGTCGTGCGCGAGTGCAAGGCCAGCGAGTTCGCGGACTGCGACGTCGTCTTCAGCGGCCTGGACGCGGACGTCGCCGGTGAGATCGGTACGTTCTGTCCCTGCACACCACCACCGCACTTGACATACCTAGGCAGTCATCTAACATCGTGAGATAGAGATGGAGTTCCTCAAGGCTAACCTGGCCGTTTTCTCCAACGCCAAGAACTACCGCCGCGACCCGCTGGTGCCGCTGGTCGTGCCCACCGTCAACCTGCCGCACCTGGGCCTGATCCCGCACCAGCGCCGCCAGCACGGGCTGCAGAAGGGCTTCCTGGTGTGCAACTCGAACTGCGCGGTGATCGGGCTCGTGATCCCGTTCGCGGCGCTGCAGGCGCGCTTCGGCCCCGTCGACACCGTCAGCGTCGTCACGCTGCAGGCGGTCTCGGGCGCGGGGTACCCCGGCGTCAGCTCCATGGACGTCCTCGACAACGTCGTCCCCTACATCGCCGGCGAGGAGGACAAACTCGAGACCGAGGCGCGCAAGATCCTGGGCGGCATCAGCGAGGACGCCACCGCGCTGCGGGATCTCGAGGGCTTGAGGGTGTCTGCCGCGTGTAATCGGGTGCCCGTGCTGGATGGTCATACCGCGTGTGTCTCGCTCCGGTTCAAGAATCGGCCGCCCCCGAAGGTCGAGGATGTTAAGGCCGCCCTGAGGGAGTACGTTAGTGAGGCGGAGACGCTGGGGTGTCCGAGTGCGCCGAAGCCGAGTATCAAGGTCTTTGATGAGCCGGATCGGCCGCAGCCGAGACTCGATCGCGAGCTCAGTCGGGGGTACACAGTTAGTGTGGGGCGGGTGCGCGAGGACGAGAGCGGCATTTTCGATATCAAGTTCGTGGCGCTGAGCCATAATAGTGAGTTGCCCCCCTTTCCAAAAGGCTACCTCCCTTGAGGTAAGAAAACACGTTACTAACATGACGTTACTTCTGCAGCCGTCATCGGAGCCGCTGGCTCGTCTATACTGAATGCGGAGGCGGCGGTGCTGAAGGGATTCATCTAAAAGGAGGTAGGCTGTAGGGTTGTCTTTGCATCTTCGGCGTCCGGTTGCGGATTTATTTCATCAGGGGTATAGCAGAAAAGGGGCATTTGATAAGGTATACAATGAGATGATGGTCATGGAAAATAAGAAACGTTTCATTCGCATATACCAAGGATAGAGAAGTTATTTGTTTTCCCTCGTCTCTTGATATATGACCTTTACAGTTGTTGTGTTGATACAGGGAACCTTGAAAGCTATGTTTCTGAGCCGTACCTAGGGCAACACAGTGAAGGTATCTGTCACGATTGGCAAGCAAGTATCTCATGGATTTCATATTCTACTGAGATTTGTGTGGTCACTCAAGAGAGATTCTCGGATGGCAAATGGCTGCCTGTGCTTTCAATTGTCCAGTGAGTCCACTACGCGTTCTTGTCTGTAACGCCATGCTTATAGCATTATGGTATCGCGAAAGAGCCTACTGCTGAATTACGTTCGTATATTTATGCCTCTCCTTTAGATATCCCCTAAATGCCCAGGAGTCAGAAACAGCCTCAAGCAAGAGAACGTATGGCGAAGACGTGGACGTGGTCACTGTGATATTCTTGAAAAGTACGGTCACTTAGTACTATTACCCAAGGCTCAACCACGGACAGTAACGTGAGAGTCTTCCCTTGTATTAGTGAAAGGCTTCATGTAAATTTGAAATATAGCTTCATATAGATAACGATATGCAAATTGTCCTACCTTGAAGAATTCACGTTGTCGTCTCAGCCTGGGACCTGACAAGTACGTAAGCACACATATATTCTGTTTTCGTATGTCTCAGACACAGAGCAATGTTGGAACTAATTCACTCCACCTTCTGGATTCCTTCCCGGAGCTGCAAAGCAACATTTGGCGCTGTAGCTGTGCAGCTTGATGAGACTTCACGATAATGAGTCCTGCTCACTCAAGCAGTCATCAGACAACAGCCTCAGCATGAGAGCAACTATTCCAACGCTACCGTCATCTGTTCAGACACGAACGACCAATCTGCATGTTCTGCATGGCGACGCATAACAGCGACGAGCAGACTGCCCTCTCCACTACAGATTCTTCCTCGCATACCAACTCATCATACAGCGTTCAGCCATGAATGTCAACGTTCCAACTCAGAAGCGACTTAGGTGCACCGCTGAACTGACGCTAGGATATAACCAACGACCTTATCAAAGAGACATCATCTGCCAAGACTAACTAGATGCAAGCAACCCATTAAGGGTATCTCGAAACATTGAAGCATACCGCCTTCACAAAACATATCATCCGTACATAACTCCCCACAGCGGGACCTAATATTGCTTCAAGGAGCCACTATAAGTGGCACGACCAGCCCACAGCCATGGAAACAGCTTTGTTTAGTATATATGCTAAAATGAAAAGTCCAGTTGCCAACCAATCACATGATAATCGCAATCATGGCCGGGTGGTCTAGTGGTAGTAAGTTGCTTCGTGCCTAATTCTGTCCCTTCACGATCCTAACATCTCTACCAGTGATTCTCGCTTAGGGCACACCCTATGCTACAATGCGAGAGGCCCCGGGTTCAAATCCCGGCTCGGCCCTGTCTTTTTTCATTTTTTCTCAATTTTTTGCACATCTTTAGCCTGTGGTATGGTCTTGGTTTCATGTAGAAAAAGGTTTAGCGGTGAGAGGCACATAAATTTTCTTCATTTTGGCTGTTGAAATGTGCTTTCTTATGCGTGTGGTCCGTGCACGGATCTCTGTAATCCCCACACAGCCCCTATCGAGGCATCTTGAAATGGCCTACAAAAATGCAGTATTACCTTATAACAGTTTCCACAGGAGGTAAAATAATGAATGGATGAATGAATGGATACACAGAAAATCAGTAGGGTAATGTGGCCTACGAGAATGAAGTAGAGATGGTGTATGGATACGAAGCAGTGAATAGGGGTAACCGGACTATAGGTAGGCAAGTAGTATCGCGACAGTGAATTACTTGGGGCCTTTCGTAAATTGAAACCATTGACTCAGAATTATTTCAAACACAAGATCAAGGTATCCCAAGAGACGTCGTGTGTCGCTGTTAGGGATGAAGTGTAGGGTGTTACTTAGTAAACTCGCTCCCCCGACAAGCCATGTTTGGTTTGCCAAGTGGACGCCCCTATGCATCTAGGTTGGGTATAGTAGTTTATGTACGTCCAGATATCATCTTCAAGAAATGCCAATATAGGAGTCGATAAATGGCTAAGAAAAGCTACTCCTAAAGTCCTAATCTAGGTATACCTGATACGCTAGAATTGATAGCTTCGAACTCCATTATAAAATTCTATATATACACTACACTAGTTATCTAAGTGGTTTACTTATATACTATACATGAAGCCGTACATCAAGCTTTGGGATAAGTTCCTTTATGGCTTTCTTTCAAATCCCGTTTATATAAGTTGTTACAACTATAGCCCGATGAATGTGATATAATTATAGCTTAGTACAGGACATTCAAGTGTCACCTTGAACGTTTGACGCCGTTTTGGGGTGCAATGTCTAATAGTGTGGAAGCTAATTGTGCACCGTCATATAAGTTTTGCCTATATAACTAGTTGATTGTGTATTGTTCAATAATATAATTATACGATTCAGTATGTCTTGATCATCATCGCCTTGATATTGTCCACAGTCGTGAGTTTCCTATCATTGCCGCAAAAGGTTTGCTAAAGCAGCTCAAGAGGTTTTTAGGACAGCGGTAAGAATCAAATATGAAGATTGTGTCTAGTAGTGTAACATACTGTATTTTCAAGTCTGACTGTATAAGTCAGCATGTATACAATATCTCGATTTTCAGTGCGCTGTGAGATGCTATCTTTCGATGAGGATTATTGGTTACTAATCCCTAACAACATAGCATATTCGTTCACTCATAGTCATTAGAGGTCGCAGAGGCAGCGAGCCGCTGTACTTTGTGTTAGCCCCCGTGTGTCTCGGAGACATGGGGAGCACCACCAAACAATTTAGTATATTCTATGGTTTATATTAGGGTCTCCAGCGGCTGCTGTCTCACGGGACCAGGTCGATTCTATATATTAATTGGTGGAGACTACTTCAAAGTATTCTAACACCATCTATGATATTTTTTCCTTTTAGGACTTTTGTTGAAATTTGGGCTTGCGGCCATCTGTACGATAGATCCTGCCCTCCAGTTACTCGTCCATATACCATCTCCGACCAAACTTTCCTTGCTTTGCCTTTTAATTCTCAGAAGCTCACTCACTCAGCCTCATTGAAAACATCAATTGGTCATCTATTCATGTGATGAAAATGTCAATATGGGACAAAGTAATGAGGAGTATAGTGACTTGGTTAGTGCAAGGTGAGGCTATAGGAAGGTGACAAAGCCCCTTATATATACATGTATAGGCGGCTTGGCATAGGTAGGCCCGTACCACCCTCAGCCCTATAGGGAGTATTTTAACAGAATACTGGCCTACCTATTTGCATTTACAGGTACTATGCGTTCTATAAGCCATATATATCATCCCTATACTCACTCCCTTAAACTTGGAGGTGTTGCGCGTTTTCCACCTACAGTCTATGAAAATATCTGAGAACTCCTTCCTAGCTTCACTATCCTGGATCTAAGCCGTGAGAAGTGGCGTAGGTAATGCTCCAGTTCTATATAGCCTTGCTTAAACTCGACAACATCCAACTCAACCAGTCAATACACAAGACCATTTTACCTTCACAAGTATTCACAGTTACTCTAGAGGATATCGTTCTAATCCTACCACAATCTCGACGATAGTCATTATTCGGGGAAAAGCACCTATTTATACTCATAAAACTAAAAGCGCTTACAAGAGCGCCTACAAACTATAAAACAAGCATGGGGGGAGATTGGCTTAGATCCATGAAGACGACCTTAAAGCAACCAATTTAGAAGGTGAAGAAAGTAATCAAAACCCTTTACAAGCATCTGGTGCATGACTTTCGTGATTTTACCTAGCAGAACTTACATCCAACAATCCGATATGAAATCAGGGAACCTACTTGGGTTTCACAGGGACAAGAGGGCTCAGAAGTAGCCTTCGACTAGAAGGCAAGTGAAGTGACTTTCAGGGGGTAAGGGCTAATTCATGTCTTTCTGGCCTGGCAATCCATGTTGCCTATTTCAATTCCCCATCCATTCGGCCTCCAACATCCAGAGATTAGACCCTGGCACCTGGCTTCCGCCGTGAAACCGGAAACCGGAGTGTGCCTTAGCAAAGAGCCGCTCGAAGTCCGCTAACTCCCTATCTCCCCCATTGAAAAGCTCAAGCATAACGAGGTCATTAGCTCGTACCCGCGCTGCGTCTCCCGGGAGGATCTTATCCGGTTCCGGAACCACAGTGTCGTTGAGTACGATTTTTGCCCCGATCTTCAGCGCCGGGATATGGGCTTGTAGGATTTTGGCAGCATACGAATCTGACCAGTTATGCATAACGGATCGGAAGAAATACACGTCGGCGCCTTTAATCGGCTGCTCCGTGAAGAAGTCATGGACCATGTAGCGCACTCGATCGGCAAGCTCCTCCGGCCGCTGGCGTTCGGCGTCTCGGACCACGGGCTCATCCCGATCTTGCACGACGAAGCTAAGCGACGGAAACCGACGAGCTAGCTCGATGCAGACCTTGCCGTGAGAGCCTCCCACGTCTACGACGACTCCGGTACCCCCTTTACCGACCTTATCCCAGGGGTAGCCGTTTACAACACGTTCCGGTTCTAGACCCGGTCGCTGGTTAAAGAAGCGCATAGCGGCTGCGAAGCGCAGCGAGCGTTCCGGATTCTCGCCGAAGAACTGGTACATGCCCTTATTTGTTTTGTTGGCCACAGCGAAGGCCGTCTCCCCAGGCTCCTCCGAACCGGGATATTGTGCCATGGCGTCGCTCATATGGTAGGCGACACGCCAAAGGTCATTGGTGCTGAACCACAACCAATCGGCAAGCACCTTGTTCTCGGCAATGAGGCGAGATACGGCCGAGTGGGCCACGACGCCGGGACGTGGCTCGGTGAATATGTGCTGAGCAATTGCAAGTCGGAGTATCTTACGAAGGTGGATTTCGTGAAGTCCGGAAGTGCCGGCGAGCTCTGCGATGGCGATTTCACCGCCGACAGGGACGGCCTCGGCTAGCTTAAAGCGCGTAATAACTTGCTGGCCTACTAGTTGGTTGTGTTGAAAGCTTGTTAGGTACTCGCGGGGCCCGAGCATCAAGTCGCGAAGCTCGAGGCAGTCATGGAGTACAGCTTGGCGCGCGGCGGCTATCTCGGGCTCATTGATTGAGAACTGCGAGGGTGCGTCTATATCGAAGGAAGGCTGCGGCAGGTTGTTGGCAGCCAAGTAGTCATTGACCTTAGCCGTATTGGTTGCAATACGGACGCTGAGCTCAAGGATCCGGGAGTCCGCCATGGTCGTGAGTGACTGAAGGCAGAGCACGATATATAGTACTTAGTCGTTTGAGCCAGTGATGTGGCACAGTCCAAATGCTTCGGGAGCTCGGAGAGGGAAAACTGAAAATCGAAAAATAGCCCTCAAGACGTATTTACATAAGATAAGAATTGCGAGCAAAGGGAGGTATCACGTCCTCATGGAGCCAGACGAGCCTCGGATTTTGCTGATATACACCAAACATGCAGTTGGGAAAAAGTACCCCGTGTCGTGTAACTTGATTAGGACTTTGCTTCTTACCAACACAACATAGATCCTAAGCTAATGGATCCTGGAGACCCATAGCACCCTTTCTCCAAAAAGAACGTACCGTATTGCAAGGGCGTTGAAGATAGACTCTGGTTCTGCAGTAGTATATTTAATTAGTGGAACATTCCAGCGTTGTCATATTCTCTGTCTCTGTCTAGAGCAGAAACATATTATTTTTGCAGATATATACCTACATGCTTTATTCTAAAATAGCCTGATCTTAGGTAGCTTTCAACTTATGATTGAATAAATAACAAACCCAACATGTTTAAAACTATGTTAGAAATATATTTATCAACTTCTAGGTTGCTGAAGCTTTAACTTCAATGTCAGTTACTTTCCTGTGCCTACAGAAGTCAACACATGCTGTGACATATTGACTAATATACATGTGTAATCAGTACATGAACCGTTGATCAGATTAATGCTTCCCTTAATTGTCCTGCTACCACTCGCTTGATCAGCTCACTTTGATATGGTTGAGCATCCTTATTATTCATAGGGTACACATTTGGAGGAAATATAATTCATCATAGTACAAGCACTGGATTCTAACTTGTCTAACAATTGTAATTCGGCATGAAGAGCTGTTTATGTCATTGCACAACACGTCTCATTCACAACTGACTAACAATTGCCTCGGTGTATTCCTGTGTCGAAGAACCATTACATTTAGACTTTGGGGAAGTTATAGCGATGTGTAGTTAAACACACCGCCATTCGATACAAGAGGAAGAGTAACGATGCTGCCTAGAAAGAATGTCAAATTGAATGCTCTGCAAGAAGTCAACTATCATAAAGCTCTCTATAGGCACTCTTTTTCCGTAGCCGTTTACTCTCATTACGTTTTCTTTATGATAAGTTCACCCC